AATGGTTCTATCTGCTGAACATCACCAATATCTGTCAGGGCCCGGAAGGACCCATGCAGGCAGAAGGAAGGGCCACTATGCGCCAAGGGTAGGAGGAGCCTTGGCCAAATCTGAGGCCGGGCTGCCAAAACTGATCCAGATGAGTAAGTACCAGAGCCCCCCCCCCCCAGCCCTCACATATTGCAACAGCCTTAATCACCTCATTGTGCTCCTATGACGGAAGCAGCATGCGCGTTTCCTTACGTGGGGGGGAGGGGAGGGGGGGGCAGCCTGTTTTCACTTAAAGCTTAGAGGCTGCAAGCCCCCCCCCCCCATTTGAGGGACACAGCGGCCTTTATGGGAAGTATAGGAGCGGCCCCAGGCGGCCTGGTCCGGATGCCGCTGGTGGACCGAATGCGATTAAACAGATATAAACATCTGTGGCATTCTCCCGGAAATTCGCCGCTCGGACCGCGGCGATAAATCACAGCGCCGGCCGCTTCCGCAGCTATGCGACCGAGCGCCACAGTCCATAAACGCGGTCGGAACGAAACGAGGCTGAATTACAATCCATGAAGCCGCACTGACTGATAAACAAATCACATGCAAAAGAACTACGTCTGAATAATTCAGAAAAAGAAACATTAGGATCTGAATTGTAAAAAAGATTAAACCTCCTTTGATGTTGTTACGCATCCCGTATCGCTGGACTGTCAACCGTCAACCTGGTTCCATGTTTTCTGAAGAGCAACGTGACACAAAAACGCATAGCATCAGATATGGCGATTGCAGTTTAGACCCAAAAGGCAGGTTTTTGTTGGCACAAAACTGGCACCATGTTCCTGTTGTTCATTTTCCATTGTTTACGGACGAAACATCTTATGAGTTTTATTTGTGAAACAAGGACTGGAGTTTGATTTTAGAATGTTAGGTCAGCTTGGGTAGGAATACAGCTGCTTAGAACATCACATCTTCCAGTGCAGTCACAGATGCCCCACAGCATCAATATGGGACACCAGAACATGCTAGGTGGGCTTAGACATATGACCAGTCTGACCAGTCTGCAGGCACAGAGCAGGCACCGTAACACACAGCTGTACAAATCAGTAGAAATGTGAAACCTGTCAGATTTATAAGCTGACCTGGATGAATTCTTCTGGTAAGGAGTAAATGAAGGTGCTGAGGAAATAGGTTATATGAACAGCGGACAGGGTCATAGGAACAAGAGGGGACTGTTGGGGTATCCACAGCCCCTCATGTTTAATTTAGCCTCAATTGTCCCACCTATATATAAACCTTTGCCTTTGTATTATTACCTTATGTCTCTCCCCAATATCAGGTTCTCTGCTAAGCTATTGGCTCTGGTGCTGATAGACAGCACAGGTGCATTGTGGGTCAGGACTTGACTGGAGAAGCACAATTTATTTATTTTTTGTTATATTTGTATAATATTTGTTTTGGTTGTTTATTTAGCAAAACCGAGAGGGAGGGGTGCTGTTATGTGCTGTTACAGTCTCTGCCACAAAAAAACTGTTAAATCTACCACAAACCAAACTCAGGCACAGGAAATATGTCATGTAAAATGTTTTGTCCATTTGGCCTGCCAGTTCAGCATGGCCGATAACAATAATCATAATACAATGAAGGGCTAAGATAGGAAATAATTATATCACTTATGTTAAGATGAGAACAAGGAATATTGAGTGGAACGGAAATCAGAAAACATTTGAAGTCATCAGAAAAGAGGACACTGATCTAACAATTAAAAGTGTTGACATTGAAGTTTGCTAATCAGACTTTTTTTTAAAGAATATGCTAATTTTCTTCATTTCTTTAAAAGTTCAAAGACTGTTAGTTTGCTATATTTGTAATTTGCACATAAAAGTACTTAGATCAACTCATTTGAATGCCAGGGTTTATTTCTCCACTTTGGGCACGTTCCATCCATCCATATTCTGAAACTGCTTAACCTATTCAGGGTCGCGGGGGGTCCGGAGCCTATCCCAGAGGCAGGGAATAACCCAGGACGGGGTGCCAACCCATCACAGGACACACTCATGCACCAGTCACTCACACAGGGACACCTATGACATTAAGCTAGTTAGTTGGCAACTTCTGAGTTGATTATGCGGCAAAAATAAACAAGGAGATTTATTTTTAGACTGTACACATCCTATGAATTATTCAGAGGTAAAGGGGATTCTCACATTCCGGAGAACACTGAAGTACCACAGTTGGTCCCAAAGAATAATCCCTGTCTTTGTGCATAAGTCACCAGAGCTGAAGGGCCTGGCTTTCATTAAATGTCTAATTAAAAAAAAAAAAAAAAGTTGTACTTGTAATAAATCAACAGCTTTAATGTTCTTACTGGAAAAACCATAATGACTGACATTCCGTAGTAAAAAAACAAGCGCAGTGAGTTACAAGAACCCGATGTTCACTTTGGCAAGAGTAATAAAGAGCAATGAGAAACGATTATCACTCGGAAGCATAACTGCCGTTTCATAAATCACATCTGGAGCTAGACGCATCAAAGCAGGCGGTGAACCTGCAAAGGTCATCCGTAACTGATAGCGTGGTGGCGTAGTAACACACTGGAAAGCAGACGATAAAAGGTGTAAAATGACACAATCGGCGCGTAAGGAAAAACACGTGTGTCGGCAATGAATGGGAGCGGTGTCTATCGACTCCTCTCATACATAAAACAGTGAACCTCAATAGTGCTATTCAGGACTGTTCCGCACTCACTATGTTAGTGTATTAGTGTCACGAAGTGATTATGAATACTGTACTTAATTATGAATTATTAAGAGTGTGACCTATCACATGTTAAAATAATAATAAAAATAATAGTAATAATAATAATATGACCCCACCCTGGGATGTCCCAGCACTTTTGGCTAATGCTTTATGATTAAAGGAATTCGGTAGCGTGGAGTGCTCGAGTGTGTTAAGCCAAGCAAAATTATCAATTAAATAAGAAATAAAAGCATACATGTACTTTGTTATAATGACATTTTCAGTACTGTGCATGTCACCAAACATACAGTGAGCTCCAAAAAGCCCCCCAAATATGATCTGCCATGATATGAAGTGTTATGTTTAGAATTTTAAAGTCTTTTAAAAGCTAGTTTGAGGGTCCAACTGTCCAAAGGTTGACTGTGGTCTCTAAACTACCCTTAGTGTGGAGGTGTGTAAGTGCCCTGTGATGGACTGGCATGCTGTTCAGAACCGACCACTGCCTTGTGCCCTCTGCTACACTGGAAAGGCTTTGAGTCAGGATAAGAGGTTGTAATATGGGTGCATGCATGGATGGACGGACTGGCAGACTGTCCACATTGGTAACTCCCAATTAACCACCAGGTGGCACCATAGAGCTGTATTTTAGCACTTCTCGCGACTCTCGTAGTATTAACCTATTAATTCTCCAAGAACAAAGGGATGTTGATATTTAGCTATGCACATAAATATTTAATACGTGACATTGCATATTTTATATGCCTGAACAGATCATCAAATTACTATAAAAACCAAATCATTGTACTGAGATCAAACTAATAACTTCAAAACGATTGTTTTAAGACGATTCGGGTAACAATGACAGCTTTATTTCTCCAGCATTAAAAACGCCAGAAAAAAACTGTTTAACTGGAGATAAAAAAAAAATAAATAATAATAATGAGACAAATTGTGGTCTTTAATTTCTTCTTTGTCATTTTCACTGTTTTAGATATAAAGCCTGCTTTTTGAGTAATATTACTTTTTTATCCAGAAACAAATTATCACTAATCAGTTTTAGACCGCCAAAGACACATAAAAGTAGTTTTAACACGTTTCACCTTAAAACCTTAGAAGTTATTTTGCACCAATATAATAGAGGATTCATTCGTTAATTATCTGAGTGTCTTTGATGTGAATTCTGCAATACATTACCCAGTCAAATTATTAAAACTGTGATTCCCTGAACCACGAAATGTAAAATAGGTTTCAAGCCATGAAGTATTTTAAACTGCGCCTTTGATTATTTTTTTCCCAGCTGTCGTTGACCTTATCCCGGATCACAGTTTAATAGCAAGTGGGGGTTTTGTATGTGAGTTATATTTTAGGAGATCCACTCTGCATCACTGAATATAGGGGCGCGGTAAATGGAGCGGAAACCCCGAATGATTCAGGGGGCTGGGCGTGGGCCGGGGCCTTGGGACGTGTCAGTAGTCAGGGGCGGGGGACCCAGACTCGTCCCTGGGTGCGGAAAGGGTCTCTCTTGTGTTTCATCCGTTTGACTGATTTACAACTGTAGACAAGCAGCGTTTTGTTGACCAGAACTTCACGTTTAGGGCACAGAAGGCGAGCACTTAGAGAAACACGCAAACATCCACATCTAAGATGAAAGAGGAGTTTGCAAATACATCTTGATAGTGATCAATACTTGACTCCTTATTTCCAGTTTTATCACTAATTACACACAGTTGAAAAAGTATTTTAATCGGGAAATGCATTTTCATTCGTAAATGTGCACATGTTGCGAGCTCAATATCATGTAGGATCCGCGACAATATGACGTAATATCTTCAAAGGGTTGCCAACTCTCACGCACCTGGTGTGACACTCGCGCTTTTACGCTCCTGCGAGAAATTTTACGGTAAATCTGTGTTATTCCATTAAGAACCTAAAATTCGCTACATCAAAAGCGTTTGAGTGGTTTGCAAACCCTACAGACTGTTTACAATGTACTGTGCATGCGTGTGCAGACTTGTCTCGAATTGAAAATTTCACTGCAGCCGTTTGATCAAAGTTGGTAACTTAGTATCTATCAATATTAAATTTAAGTAAAACATACTGTCAGTCGACACAACGAATTTTTGACTGATGGCGCATAGGTTTTACCCATACATTTTGTCGTTCAAATAAGGAACAAGATAAACAGAAAACTAAACGTTATACAACCGCATAAATATAAATACCACACCCAAGTTTTGCTCACTGATATGTTCCCACCTGTTACAGAAATTTATTAAGAAAAATGCACTCGTCTGATAGTTTTTTTTTCCGGGGAGAAACTCTAATACTACGGGGTAAGCGATTTGCTTAGTGGGATTTCCCACAGTCGCTCCACCCAAAAAGGATAAGGGGAGTTAAAGCGATCAACCCGGCCAAAAAACGACGGGAGTCGAACTATTTACAAGCTCCCGACTCAGCCCTGGAGCAAAGTCCCGTACGAGTAAAATCACATGGCATTTTAAGAATGCTCCAAAGATGGCGGTGGCAACTTCAATTTCCAGTAACAGAGTACAGAAAAGTGGTTTTTTAGAAGTGTTGGTGCGGGACCAGTGGCACAAAGTGCTGGCCGCCTTGGAGGAAGACGCGCTGACGCTGAGCTGCGACGATCAGGGGGACAATGTGAACCTGAACGGCATCAGCAACGGCTCTTACGGGAGCGACTCCGGCCACCTGGATCCCACGAACAGCCCCAAAGCGCCGGTGAGGACAGTATTCACCGATCTGCCCCAGCAAGTGCCAGAAGCCATAGCCAACAGAAAGAGATGCGTCAAAGTACTAAAGCAGGACGCGGGGGGTCTTGGGATCAGTATCAAAGGCGGAAAGGAGAACAAGATGCCGATACTTATTAGCAAGATCTTTAAGGGTCTGGCGGCGGATCAGACCCAAGCCCTTTACGTGGGGGACGCGATTTTGTCCGTGAACGGGGTGAACCTACGGGACGCCACTCACGACGAGGCGGTGCAGGGACTGAAAAGGGCTGGGAGAGAGGTAACCCTGGAAGGTAAGACGGGGAGAAACTTAGAGGTGCCTGGTACTTAGTCTATCTGTAGCAATACAGTAGGTAATGTCATGATTAGACACTCCTGGTATTTATTCTCCAACATATTCCTATGTGGACATGCACAAATTGTATGCTAGACGTATTTACTGGTAAGTTGTATATTTCTACATGACATATACGTGCTTTCTCTGCAGTTATGTTTCACGGTCTACATAGATGCAGTACTTTACAAGGTTTACAGGCGTGAGCCGTGCGTGTGATTACGCGGGTCAAACTCCACGTTGCGAAATCTGACAGTAAGTAGTTGAGTGAAATACTTCGCGTACTTGGGCTGATCGCCATCGATGGGTATCTTTAGAATTTGCATGTCAGCTATTCTGATCCAAAAGGTGCCTGTTAATGCATTAGTCCGTTAAAAATAAGAAGTAGCTTATTCCTCGACAGCAGGGCCGTAGTCAGGGTTTGAAAAATAGTGAGGTCCGGGATCCGGGGGTGGGATGGGTCTCGTCAAGCACTTTATTGATACCGTCTCCTTCATAAGATGATTATTTAAAAAATTAGTTATACGAAACGTTAGTTGGACTAATTTTTTATTCAGGGGAATATTTAACTTAAAACTTTATTTTTGGTCTTAAATGATCGAGGTCCGGACCTCGTGACCTCATAGCTGGCTACGGCCCTGCTCGACAGCGGAGCCCAGGACAGACCTCGCTGGTGTAATATGTGCAGTGTTAATTATGCATTAGGCCTATATGGCATTATGAAATATGATGATAATATAACATTGTATTGGACAATCTAAAAAAAATGTACTAACTAACGTAAATAAACGTACAAATAAGCCATCTTATAGAGTGAAATTGCTTAATAATTCTTATACTTGGAGTAATCTGTGTTTTTAAGGGTTGGATGAACTTTTGTACAACAGCTGTATTGGGAATTTTTGTACATTTTACACAGGACAAGAACTACTCACGTGTTATAGGTCATGTTGCCCCAAGCTGCCCACGATCGGTCACTTAGGGTCAGATCCTGTGGCAAGCTGATTAAACCAGTCGGGATGCTGATCAAACCAGTTTTGGTTAGTCAATGTGTTTGATCAACAACAATTTCAGCATGAGTGGATGTTCCCACCCCTTCACTTGAGTAACTGATCCACGTGAGCCTCTCGTTAGGCAGAGAGAGAGTAGAAAATGAAAGAAAACCACACAGTGGTCCATTTTGGAAGAGGGTCTACTGATCTATACAGAACTCTGATGTATTTAAGCCAACACTCCAGCCCAAGAACTGGTTTTGTGCATTGTTAATTACATGAGATTCCTTAAAAAAGAAATAAAGATTAGCCTAATAAAGATTAGAAATTGCAACCTACCCCTACCCCCCCCCCCCAAACAGGAGTATAACCTTAGTTACAGTTATGTGGGAAAACAGTCAGTCAGACAGTCACTGAGCTGCCTGGCTTTTGCCCCCCCTCGAATACAGGCATGTTACTGTTTCAGGCTGAGTGTGAATCAGCATGTATCATGCAGCTCTGTTTCCCGTGGATCCATTTGTGTCTGTGACATCACGCTGACAGAGTAATGAGTCAGATGTCAACATGGTCGGCTGTGTGAGCTGGTGCTGATTGGCGACCATCTGATCGGGCGTTCGGTCACAGTACTACGGCCCCGGATTTGATGAAGTCATCGTTTTTCCTTGGCTTTGACGTTGCACTCTTGTGGATCACTTGCCAGTCATCCAGTCCAGATCTCCAGCACCCTTCCTTGAGTGGTATTTGTGTCAAGGACGGGTAAACGTCTTTCGCTGCTGGCACTCGGCTCTCGAGTCGCGCTGATAACTCTCGTGTGGACTCCGGAAGGGCAGTAGGTGATTCGCTCCTCCCTCCAAACCTCAAGGGCAGCATGGTGGGTAAATATATGGACTCATAACCCAGAAATTGCTGATTCAAGCTCCAAAAAAAGTTGCACATTGAGCACTTGAGCAAAGAATTTAGCCTCAGCTGCTCCAGTAAAACATACAGCTATATAAACATTTAAACACCATAAGGCAGAAAAAAAGTGTCAGCTATTGAATGTAATTGTAGCATGTTCCACTTGACAGAGCTGAGATGACCTGCCCTCTCTGTTTCCCCTGGTAGATAGTTCAGTTTGACTGATAATAGGCCGTGTCTTTGCCTGCCTGAGGGCAGCTTTCACAAGCCTCTCCTGTTTGGCTACCGAACGTCTTGTCTGTGGTCTGATGTAATTTGAGTGACTGTTCTTCATGTTTCCTGCCAATACTATTTGCATATCCTTTAACTTGATCATGTGACTTGAACACATCAGTGCTGGCGTGTCGTATGTGTACTTTACTTTTCTATGTCGGCATTTTGATTCTTTTTTTTCGGGGGGTGTAGGGGGGCAACTGTTTAATGTCGCGCCATCCTGTTTAAACAGGAATGTGTACATATACGCAATTACACGAAGTTCATGGTGTTTTAAAAACGGCTTTTTTCAAACCTTCAATTTTAAAGCACAATAATTAGGTTTAAATATCAGAGAGCGCCGTTATTCCGTAATGCCTCTCTGTTCTGTTCACAGAGAAAAAAATCGAAAGTGAAGGCTGGTAAAAAAGAGCTTTTTGTATCCAGCCAATGATCTTTAATTACAAAGCTCAGATCAGGCGTTTTCCACTTTCCTCTAAGCTTAGCAAACGCTTCAACCCGGAACAATGATCCCTATTTATTTTACAGGCGCATATAAAAAGGAGGTCCGGCTGCCGTAAAGAAACTAACAGCCCACAAAAGACCAATTTAGGTACCTGTTGTTTGGACCATAAGGATTCATAAAGTTAAATTTCTATAACAGCGACTGTCTGGAAAATTATCACGCGAAGTTCAAGAAATCCCGTTATTCTCTGCACAGAAAAAAAAGATTAACTAAATGTAGAACAGCACTTGGAATTTAGAAAATTGTAGTATCTAAATATAAAATGAGGAGTGGGTACATTTCCATTTATAACTATAATTAGAATTGTTGAATATTATTTGTTCTGTATTACGGTTCGGCAATGGTGTTCAGATTTTACGCGTTACACGCATTTCACAATAAAATGACAACAGAATGTAGTTTTTAAGCTCTCTCTGGTATTTTGTCCTCTGCAAAACAAGTTTTTGTTCAGGTAAAAAACTCAGATTACAATGAAGACGCAGCAAGGAGCCCCCGTATGAAAATGGGACTCATCATAATTAATCATGTGCCGCTGTGGTTTCTGGGGTATTTTGGCAAATGGAAAAGATGTGCCCCGCAGCAAAACTAGAAAGAGGATGTTTACTGACAGCCTTAACTTAAATAGGTCTTCCTCCTCCCCCTTTAATCACCCCCAGCCACACGGAAAATGTATATTTTTATATACACACTAGTGAAATCGCCCACACCCATAGTGAGTCATTTTTAGCCATTATTGACAGGCCTACTACAAATATGCAGGAATCTCCGGCGGTAATGAGGAGTGGCAAATGGCAAATCACAAAATCAAATTCCTCCTCCGCATTTTCTGAGCCGGTTGCTTCATTAACTACAGTCATACCGGTTGAAGTAATAGTATGAATTTCAGCGGTTATACAAAGCGCCTGGAGGCAGCTTTGCCTTGAAATCTTATTTCTCGCATTCGAGAAACGTGAATTGAAAATGCAATGGGCTTCGGCTCCAGGCTCTTTCTCAGCTGCATTTGTTAATTTTAATAGAGGAATTCGCAGGCGACGGCAACCAAGTATATAGATGCTAAATGTGAAGCATGAATGGGTTTTTTATTTTTTACAGCAGTGGAAACTGGTGTTGTGACCGTTGGGGGTGGGCAGAAAGCGGCTGCCCCCCTCGTCCATCTGCATACCCACACTGCACATCCATCGGGTGCCTTTAATACCGGGATCGTCGGTGACATTATTAAACATCGACTATTCAGGAAAGTGCTGGTCGCGGCAATGACAATTTTTTTCTGCCATGTAAAATAATGCAGGCCAAAGTTAGTGATACGGCCTATTGAAAATGACTGTGTGACTGGCGCCTGTTCATATAACCACGATGGTCTCACTAGGATTATCGCATTGTCGAGAGCGGGAAAAACTGGTTTTCCAGAATTAGAGTCCATTCATGACACATTCCTGGTAAAATTATAATTGATCCTAATTTTAAAAATACATTTTTATCTTTACTATGTAGCCTAATATGGGAAAAGCGTCTGCTAAATAGGCCTACGTAAATTTAATCTAAATTATTACATTTACCCAAAACTTTCCGTAGTAATTTCCACAGAGAAATATATTTACGGAAAAGGTCATTCACTGTTAATTCGCTTTTAATATGCAGATTTTTATTCGTATACAAAGAATTATTTTAAAATCCCGACTTTAAGAACAGGTTTCAGGTTGAAGATTATTTTTTTCTTTCATTCATGGGGATGCGGCTTCGCAGGGATTTGTGGCGGATTTGCGCGCCTGCGCACTGCACGCCATCGCGGACGGTCCGGGGTGAATCCCCACCCTTGTGTGACAAAGTAAACACACAGTCGATCAGGTTTCGCAGCTGATGGAAACAACGTGTTTACTTTTCAGCCTGTTATCTGTAAAATTATGAGAGTCCTCGGGGCTGCCATTAGCTTTTTCATGACTGCAATATGATACCGACTTAACTCTCTTTAACCATCTTAAAATACTCATTGTTGGTCGAAAGAAGGGTCTTTGTGGAAAAAGAGGCAGTATTTTTTGAGGGATAGTGAGGGGAAGGAACTTGCTGTGTGTATATCATTTCCCCAAACAGGACAAAAGAATGTTAAATGTTAGGGGATAAAATCACTTTCACCTTAGGATGAACCCAAATCATATAATTCCAGATATGGGACTTAAGGAACCATGGTTACAGGGTGCGTGTGTCTGCGCTTCATATTGACTGAAATGTTAAGGGTGGTTAAATTGGCACAAGCCTGGAATACCATGTGACCAGTACAATTAAAAGGCTTTGACCAATAAGAGTTGTGTGATGGGAAAATGAACCCTGCCTCCCCCAGTCCTCATCTCTGTACTGGGAGAAGCACACGAGGGTATCTGAACTTGAGTAAATGATGAAGACCACGCATGATTCTTTACCTTAATACTCAGACACTGCTTATGAAACATCAGATCACGTTAAACCAGTATATCCCACGTTTGTTCACAGTGTGCGTTACTGCGACAGTTTTAAAAGGATAACTTTCGAGAGCGAATAGAAAGTTCTGAAGGACTCTGGGTATGTTTAAAAAAAAAAAAAAAAGCCTACTATCGCACACAGCGCCCTTGCAAAGGTGACACATTGATTACAAGGCTACACGCCGCCCCAGGAAAATTAAGCGCTAGTTTTCCGCCAAATTCAAAGTCATTGCTCCAGGCGAAGCTGTTCGGTTCGGGGGAAGCGGCGGAGACTAGCGAATAGCGGCGGGGACTAGCGAACAGATTTATGTAGAATTAAAGAGGGCATTATTAAAAATACGCACACCTTTCTCAAGGTGCACCACACTATAGAGTCCCATTAAAATGGCAAAGCCGACTGGTTGTTTTTTTTCTCCTTCACTGAATTCTCTTCTTCCTTTTATCAGTATATTAACTCTGGATGTCCCTTACTGTACGTGACGCGACTGCCACACATTCCAGCCTAAGTAGCTGTAGCCTGATCCCGGCCTGGAGGGTCTGCCTGTAACAGCTGTTGTAGTGTAGGCTATGCCTGAATGAAGCTGAACTTGTCCCAGTCTGTTGCACAAAGGCACAGATTTGGATATGCACTGTAGTGACACGCCCCTACCGATATTGTCGGAGTTCCGTGTGTGTTTAGGGTGGTGGGGGATTTGGGGCTGATTTAATCCCTACTAGTGTTGACACCAAACCTACACCCTTGCTCATAACATAAGGTATCCTTCACACAATGAGTAATTAAACTAAGGGACATTTTGGAAACAAAGTCACATATCAGTATGCTTGGTCATTTTTAATAAAAGTGGTTTACTGTAATTTCAGTTTAATTATGGACACAGAGAAATGCCTACTAACCAAAATAGTTTATTTTTTTCTTTCTTTCCAATATTCATGTTTGCCAGTTATGGTTCCACTACACTTCTATAGCTCTCTTGTCAAGCCCAAAAAAAATTCTGATCATTCTGTATAAGTCCTCTGAAAATATATAACAAATTCTAATGGGACACAATCAAGAAATAATTAATGTTAGGAAGCTGAGTGGGACCCAGAACGAAGCTGAATGTGAAAGTATGAGAAAGCAAAATACTATTTACATGTTATTTAGTTAATCGGAGAAGAAGAATTACTTCCTCAAAATGTTACCCTCATACACCACTCTGAAACCCCCCAGGACTAAACAAGGGGTAATTATTCTGCAATTACCATGTTTCCAGTTACCCCAAGAGCTAAACATGGCACAAAGGTTAAACAGGGCCGTTGTTATTGTCAGGGATTATGGAATGGGATTTATGATTTATTTCCTGTGTGTATTTATGGAAAATCCTTGCTAACTAACAGTCCCTTGTTATCCCCCCCCACCCCATCTGTGACTTGCAGTGAAGTACATGCGGGAGGCCACCCCCTATGTGAAAAGGGGCTCCCCAGTGTCAGAGATCGGGTGGGAGACACCCCCTCCAGAGTCACCCCGTCTGGGGAGCCCCCAGTCCGATGCCCCCAGCACCCCCACCCTGTCACTGCAGGGGGACCAACGCTGCCTCCCGCTCAAGATGTGCTACGTGACACGCGGCATGACGATACCAGACCCCGAGAGCAGGTAACCAGCAACCCCCACCTTTGAAAACCTCTGACAGGAAGTGCAGTTACCTCTGACAGGAAGTGCAGTTACCTCTGACAGGAAGTGCAGTTACCTCTGACAGGAAGTGCAGTTACCTCTGACAGGAAGTCATGGCTGTTACACTAACTACTCTGCCATTCGATGGTATCTAAGGCTCAAGGGAAGGAGGGAATGCAGGCAAACCTTACTGCTTGAGGCCTGTAGGAGATACATTGCAGAGTACTGTAGCGTGAGATTATTAAGGGAAATTAAGTTCAGATTTCTAATATATCTCTTATTTTCAAGAAAAGAATTTTTTGCTGATACCCATAATTCAGCAGACAATTTGATACAGAGATGAGAGATCAACATCAGTTTGACACAATTAGCAAGTAATCGTGCTTTAACTTGCAGGGCTTATTACAGCTTTAGTGTCAGTATCACAGCAGCAGGTTTTATAAAAAGCCTTTTGGCGCATTTGAGGTCTGCACTATAGTACTGAGGTAGTTTGTCACCGGTCAGAGTTCTTGATGGGGACTAGCATCAAAGGACAAGTTAACAAAGACTCCAAAGCACTTGCACCGTGCAAAAACTGGGATTGACAGACAAATATCTTTTAGATCTTATGGGAAAACCTTCAGAGAATTTGGGCTTCTTTTCATGAAGGGGGAGTGGCATAAATGTAACAAGGTCCTAAAGAAATCGTTAACATCACCATATGAGATTTTGACTCAAACGGTGTCTGTAATTCTGAACCAACAACCGTACAGTACATGGTATGAGAAGTCAGATAAAATAAGTTGAACTCTATTGATTGCGGGTGGATGTTGTGGTGCAGACAGCATCGGGGTACATAAAGTGCAGACAAACAGATACAGTATGCAGTGCAGAACAAGATAAGGTGCATAGACAGGTAAAGAGAAATTCAAAGCGTGAACAGTACACAAATAGAACGTGCTACAGAAGAATATTAAAGAAATGAATATAAATAAAAGATGAATTGACAGGAGGTAATATGAGCCTGACCGCAGACAGGAAGAGACGAGAAGTAATGTCAGTTTGTTCAGTTCAAGGAACCTCGGCTTGATTTCCGTCACTTCAAAAGAAAAAAGAGAAAACAAATGATGGTTCATGTCAGAGTTTCAAGGCAAGTAAGACGTCAATAAAACACAGAATTCCCAGTCTGGAATTTCCTCTCTTCAGTAACTTAACTTTCAGATCCTGTAAGTTTTTCAGATCCCTTTGGATGTTCTAAATGTCAGTCTGCCCAAAGGTTCTTGATAGTCACTTTTTTATTCAGCTGATCAGACACTGAAAAAAAGAGGAATGACTGTTATATTTAAATGTACAGTCTCCAAATTCCTGTTATCTTCAGTCCTGTCCAAGCTCTCGCCGTCACATTAGAGTGGTTTTAGCTGCCGTTGTACAATGAGCCTTTATGAATTCATCTTGCCGGCCAGCATCCTACATGTTCCGCCCTCATTGTGAAACAGACTGATGGGTGATTATGCTTCAGCAGAGGCTGCATGGGGGCGTATTTTGCTGCTAGGAGAGGGACAAATCTGTCCTCCATTCATCTCCTGTCCACGTGGTTGAGAAAGTCCACCTGTCCAGTCAAACATCGGCAGAAACAGATGTGGAGCCCTACATCATGGCTACAGGTCAAGAAAGGATTATACTGAAATCTTGCCAGAAACTACATTTCAGCTAAAAATAGGTTCCCCCCCCCCCTCCAAGGCCTGTCTAAAGACGGTTTGTTTGACTTTCCCCTGACCCTGAGGGGGCGGGGCTACAGTGGAAATTTAAACCGCCGTTTGGTGGAGCGCAGGAGGGTGGGGGGGGGGGAATTCTGTCCAACAGATAAATGGGAGACCTCTCCCCCCCCCCCCCGTTACTCATAGAATGGGCTGGCGTGGGAGCGCATCACATCTCGGCTGAAACCGGTTCAAAGGAGGCTTCAAGGTTTCCCCACCGCGCCGCTGAAGTTTGTTGAAGTGCCACAGACACATCCGTCCGCATTCCAGAATGTAGAAATTTGAGGAAGAACGTCCAGAGTTGGATTTTTCACACTATTTTCCTGGATATGCCCCCCCCCCCCAAAAAAAAGCAGAAATATGTTTGATACCGTTAAAAAAAAATCGACCACGCTTCCTGTGACAAACAGGAACTGCTCCTTGACATTCATTCATGCCATGTGAGGGCAAATTTGTCAGTTTATTGCACGGTATGAAGCAGAACTAAAGGAAGCAAAGAGAGGTGTGTATATAAACGGTGTAAACTTGGCTAAATACTCCAGCGGACCAGTGAATAATGGAGAAAGAAAAAGGCCCATTCTCAGATCAGGCACTTCTGAAGGTGCCCTGTGACCCACCTCACTAACCCATCTGCACAAGCAGGGTCTCTCCCATGAAGAGCTGTATTTTGAGCGCCTGCGAGAGAGACATTAGTGTGTTATTTTAAAGTCTGCCACGCCGTCCGCCCACAGTGCGTGATGCTGATCAGCTACGAGGTGGACACCGCGTGGGCCTTTTAAATTTAAACTTAAATCTGATCTCACACTTAACCACAGTGTTGTGTTGCTCCGTGTAACTGTTTTTGCTGAGATTCAGTGAGTCACTACAAACGACAGGGTAGACGGCGCAGTGCGGTCATTTGCATTTCCAAAACAAAAAGGTTTTCCCCTTTTGTAATAAAATACCTGCAAGTGCAGCATAAGAACATATGATGCTTCCATCCGTTACGTCATAATCTCCTCTGTTTGAAGATGCGGCCAAATCGTAGCTGCCTTTGCATCCGCACTGTTTCACAGTAAACAGGATATCAGTACCACTAGGGGTGGCTCAGAATCACTGTTGCCTCAGACCAGCAGGAGGTTCGAATCCCACCTCCTCCTGCTGTCTGAGGACCATGTTATAGGTTAAGGCGCCATTCTAAACTGACCATACTGTGTAAATGTTAGTGTGAGTATATTTGCTTTGGCATTTAGCGTAGGGAGTAACAGCCCTACCCCCCCCCCATAACAATGTATGGGCTGGAATATGGCTGGTGGCTGGAAATAGACTTGAAGAGCATAGGATAATAGACAAGCAGACAGTTAACCTAAACCTTAAGCTTCGGACTTGAAATCCGACGAGCTTGAAGAGTTACCTAGGAACTGCACTTGGGTGCTGCTCAGCTGTGACTGCCGACGAGGTCTCAGGTCCTCTCTGCCCCCCCTCCCCCCACCCCGCATGCCCTCCGTCTCCACAGGCACCTGGAGCTCCACTCCCCAGATGCCAGGCACACCGTGGTGCTGAGGTGTGCCGACCCCTACGCCGCTCAGGCCTGGTTCGGCGCTGTCCAGTCTGCGGCCACCAGCTTGGCGGCAAAGGTCATCGCGGAGGTCAAAGAGCAGACTGGGAGGAGTGGGATCTCTGGGAGTCGGGATATCCTCCACCTGGGCTGGCTGGCGGAAAAGGTGAGTGTTCTATATCTAAAGAGGCAGGACGCCATTTACCTTTCTTTGAGATTTATATTAAATACTGTAAATGTAATAAGACAAATGTAACGTTCTTGTGGAAAACTTCCTATTTTCATAACGATAGCAGCAATGAAATATACAGATTGAAATTTATGCTGCTAAACAGGCTGAATTGGTTTAAAAAATACAGCAGTTTCCTTTATTTTCACAAAACGATAAAAAATGCAGCATAGTCACTGCAGACTCGGTCTTCGAAACATGGTAACAAAAGAGCGAATTGAGAGCTTCAGACGGCTCCTGTTGAATCGGCCCGCCTTTGATGTCTGTGTGGGGTGGTGCCTTCATGCAGACCCTCAGCGTTTACCCCGGAAATCTCTCTACTGTACATGCAGATTAACAAAGAAAAATCCGCCTTCTGCCTTACTTCCATCGACGGCTGGCAACTCTAGCTGATTGTCGGGGATTCTGGCTTACGTATTTTCATAATTTGTGTATTCAACAGAAACTGCACATTTACAAAACACTTTGTAACGCGATTCACGTCACTGCCTCCCCCCTCCCCCCCTTAATTTCCGCTGAAGGACGGGCCCCCCTTTAAACCCACAGGAGCAAACAGACAAGCTACTTTTCACGCTCATCTGCTAGAGTAACAGTTGATCTGGGATGACTCCCCTGACCATGACTGCAGCCCCCTCCCTTCTGTCCCCCCCTTATTAAATCCCCTTTCATCGCTCTCTCATTAGCGCAGGTTTGGCATCGATGGCAGCCGGAGGCTTGCCTAGATTTTGCCAGCATGCCACTGTTCAGAACATAATGAGGCCCTCTGATTAATGTCTCTTATTACTGGATTGCTTGCTCCCCCATCACCACCAAACTCACCCCCTCTAGCATCCTGTTGAATAATTATATGGGGTGGGGGGGGGGTCCAGTGTGTCGAGTAGCGGTTCCCCTGTGCAGTAACTGTGGATTTCAACATGGGCCCGTTCTGGCAGTTGGGACAGGGCGCTTTCTCACTAACGCCTGTAACGGCAGACTCTGTAAGCGGCGACCTCGTCAGCGGTGGTGGTGTGTGGCTCGGGGGGGGGTGGAAGGTCATGGGTTCAAATCCCAGGATTGGCAGAGTGGTTTCACTGTCGAGCCCTGAGCGAGGCCCTTAACCCCTGATTGCCACAGAGACTGACTCGCCCTGCTTTATCAAAAATTTGCCATTTTGGATGAAAGCGCCTGCTAAGTGAATGAGTAGCGTGAGGTTTGCCCGTGACCCCCTTTCATGCCGGCGCTCAATGGGCTTCATCAATTTCAATACAGCAAAAAAAATAAAAAATTGCAATCTCGCAGCGCGTGTGTCTGTTCCAATCAAAGGCATTGATGGCCAAGGCCTCCTATGATTTGCACATCAAACGTTTTCAGAGATGCAGTTAAGTGAGGGTTTGGGGGACTGGCAGCCTGCATTAATAAGGCCATCGCACACCCCCCTGCCCCCCCCCCCTTTAACAACGTGGGCCCTAAGGACCAGCAGTACGGAGTCACCGCACAGCCGGGCTCCTTTAAACGATTAGCGAGACAGTTGAGGATTTTTAAAAGGGTTAAAATGGAAATTGCAAACTGGTTGACCTTCATAATTTGTATACCGTACAGATAGTCTGTTTTCGTGTTGTAGCTCTACTTCTATGATACATGTGCACAATATAAGTACATTTTTCTGAATTATGTCAGCATTTACATGTATGTAGGAGATGCTGTTTCCAAAGTGACATATGTTTTGCTGAGAAAGCAGGGTCAGCCAGTCAGTTCCTGGAGCAACTGGGGTCAAGGGCCTTATTCAAGGACCCAGCAGTGAAATCACTCAGCTGACCATAGGATTTGGACCAATGACCTTCGGACCACTGGCATTGCACCCTAACCTGCTGAGCCACACACCACCCTGAAGATCAAACACCATACATATATCATCCCTATTTTTCCATTATCCAGAACCTCTTACACGATTATTCCTAACTGGCACGCACAAGACACACTAATTCACATAAACTCCATGACACCAGGACACCCAAACGACACGTACACAAACATGGAGAGAACATGCATACTCAGCTACCATCTTACTTACTTGTCTTAATGACTCTAAAGTCACAATGCGAATGTGATGTAGTTAAACCATTAACCAGTAGCTTCTCGTGGATTCCAGGAATCCTTGCAGCATTTGTCCATTGCTTGTGCCCCAGTCATAAAATTCATTAAAGTACCATAAAGCTTTAAATGTGTAAATGTTTTTCAGGTTAATGAAAAAGTCTGTTAAACATAATGGACCATGCTGTGTAAGTCCATCGTCAGTCTGTCTGTTAAATTACCAAACTCATAATCGCACAGTAATTAAACCCGTCAGCTCCACGGATGCACAACCAGAGAATTAATCATGTTTGTAGAATGCTTTAACCGTTCAATAAATTATATTCTTTTTATTGTCAAAGACATGTAGCTCAAACAAAAAGAGACTCTGTGCAAAGAGCAGACGTGCACTTCAGCGGAAACTGAAAGAGCTCGTCGACAAAAAAGAAAAAACAAAAAAAAAAAACGAAGGAAATTAACACATTCTCAACGTCTGTATTCAAAGCTGATCACTGGTGCAGGGAGAATTTGCCGTTTAAGATAAACTGACTCCTGCAAAGGCATACACACCCACATATACACACACACATATACACACACACATATACACACACACATATACACACACACATATACAATGCAGTCAAGGGCAAACAAACATTACAAAGTCGTCTGTCAGCCAGAGCAAGGGCACTGTCTGGGAGGTGATCCGTTCTGTGCGTTTGATTGGTTGACTGATGTCATGTGACTGTGTCGCCCGGATTCCGTCTCGCTTGGCAGACAGAAGATGACAAGCAGCGCTGGAGGCCGGTGTTGGCCTTGGTGACCGAGAAAGACCTGCTCCTGTATGACAGCCTACCCCGGATGAAGGAGGCCTGGTTTAGCCCTACGCATACCTACCCTCTGTTAGCCACACGGTATGCTACATCCTACCTAACCTCTGCTAGCCTCATGGTATGCTACATCCTACTACATCCTACATACCCTCTACTAGCCACACGGTATGCTACATCCTACTACATCCTACATACCCTCTACTAGCCACACGGTATGCTACATCCTACTACATCCTACATACCCTCTGTTAGCCACACGGTATGCTACATCCTACTACATCCTACATACCCTTTGCTAGCCACACAGTATGCTACATCCTACATACCCTACATACCCTTTGCTAGCCACACGGTATGCTACATCCTACTACATCCTACATACCCTTTGCTAGCCACACGGTATGCTACATCCTACTACATCCTACATACCCTTTGCTAGCCACACGGTATGCTACATCCTACTACATCCTACATACCCTTTG